CCCTGGTTTGGCTGAGAACTTGAACCGGTCCAGCCTGTTTAAACGGAAAGGACAGAGATCCTGTCTGTTCAATGTAAAAAAAAAAATCAGATCAGACCTAGGAAGAGAGAGAGAGAGGAGAGGGAGAGGGGGGGTGGAGAGGAGAGAGAGCGCGAGCGCGAGCAAGCGAGAGAAGAGAGGAGAAAGAGAGAGAGAGCAGAGCGAGGGAGAGAGAGAGAGAGAGAAAAGAGAGCGAGGTGTAGAGAAACCGAGGGGGAGAGAACCCGAGTGTGTGTATGCGTGTGCGTGTGTGAGCGCGAGCGAGCGAACGAGCGAGAGAGGGAGAGGAGCAAGAGTGCGAGCGAGAAAGAATAAAAGGAAAGAAGATTTTCTCTATGTATATAAAGATGGCCACGTTAGCAAACGGACAGGCTGACAACGCGAGCCTCAGTACCAACGGGCTCGGCAGCAGCCCGGGCACCGCCGGGCACATGAACGGATTAAGCCACAGCCCGGGGAACCCGTCGACCATTCCCATGAAGGACCACGATGCCATCAAGCTGTTCATTGGGCAGATCCCCCGCAACCTGGATGAGAAGGACCTCAAGCCCCTCTTCGAGGAGTTCGGCAAGATCTACGAGCTCACGGTCCTGAAGGACAGGTTCACAGGCATGCACAAAGGTGAGTACACCTTTCCCACCCAACTTTGCCGAGGAGAAGGAGCGGGCGAGCGAGAAACGAGCGGGAGACGGCACGAGAGGGAGCCTCGGGCGGGCGCCGAGGAGGGAGGCGCGCGGGCAGCGGAGCCCAAGCCTGGGTGCGTGGGGAACTGCTCACTGGGGCAAAGCTGTGTTTTGGACGAACAGCTAATAGGAGCGGTGCCGCGGGGAGAGCAGTGGGCGCAGAAGATGAAGGGAGAGAGAGAAAGAGGATCGAGAGAAAACTGGGCTTGGGTTTTGTGGGGATAGCGACTTGAAACATTGAGATGGGAAAAGCTACGGCGACCGAGCCCGGGACGCTGAACGGAATGGCTTGGCGCTTGGCGGGCCAGAGACCTAGGGTGCTGTCCATCGCCTTGGTGCTGAAAAACAGATAGGAAATGGTTTTCTCTCCTCTGTGCCAGAGTAGTGAGAGCACAGCCGTCTAAAATGAAGCGGGGTGACAAATGCAAAGGGATATTTTTATTTCGGTGTCAATTTAACAGTAAACTCTCCCTGTCGGTGTGCCTCGATCATCTGGTTGGTGGGGGGCGGTGTTGAGGGCACTGTTTGAAGTGACAAAACCTAAAGCAAGAATTATCAAGGTACCAGCCATCCCCTGCATGGAGTGGAGGTTGGGGAAGCCTGGCTAGTTCACTACCTAGGAAATCGGAGCTTTGGGAAAGAATCTGTGTGTGCAATATATGCATTTTGAAATGTATACCTTAATTAATCCCAAACTCACCGTGCATAGAGCTTTATAGTACATTATGTCTTTCTCTTCAAGCAGTCATTGATAGTGAGTGCTTGAGGGGTGGGGGCAAACAGAATAATCAAAGAATTAAAACCCAGTAACTTTTTAGGAAAGTGATCATAGAAATTGTCTGCAGCCTGCCTGTTTTCTCCTTGTTTTATTATCTTTAAGGCAGAGCTCCAAACGTGTTCGGTTGTAGAACGTGTGTGGGTGGCTAGTGGGTGACGAAATTAGCCCAGTGCTCTGCTCCTAACAGTAATGTATAGGATGTGCAGTGGGGATTAATCGGTGCTGGAGCTGTGTGGGCAAGTTAAATGCTTTCTGAAAGAGATTGATCGTCAGGCAGGGAAGGAGCACTGGTCTAAGGAAGTTGTAGGGGATGTGTATGGACGTTCAGTTTTTTAATAAACAGTAGCGTGGAGAGCCGCCAAAGATGCTGTATTTGAGCTGGTGGTTTTAAAGATGAAACACACACACACAGCAGCCTCATCCTTGGCCATAAATGGTCTATGAACATAGCTGATCCTCCAGCACATTAGGTGCAGAGTGCGGCTCTCTAAGCAGCAGTGGTTTTCACTATCACAACCTCCCTCCTTCTCCAGCCCTCCCTTCATTCGAATACTAAACAGAGCTCCAAACTCTTCATAGTTGGAGTCCCATAGAGCAGTTTTTATTGGCTTTAGTATCTTACAGTTTGTCTGCTGAGGAGTAAATCTTAAAGTTAATGGCATGTTGAATAGCATAAAAACACAACAGAATGGAAATATACTAGGTTTGTTGGGGTGGGGTAAAGAGTGGGGGCTGTAACAGAAAGAAAAACCAACCTTTATCCAAAATGTCTGTCTGTTCAGAAGAGATATTGAAGAGGTGGAATGGTGAAGCAGTCTTCAAAATAATATTTATTTTCTTTTTAGCTCCTTTTTCTCAAGTCAACCATATTTTTATAGTTTTTCCCTTTTCAGTTAAGCTTTCTAGAAGATAATCAATATTTGTATTAAACCTGTGTTATTCTAATATGTACTCAGTTTTAAGAACAGTAATGATAAAAATTAAAAGACATAGGAAGGGGATATTTTTCCAATTTACTCATCAGTTTTGGAGATTTAAGATTTTCAAAGTTAAAAACAAAAAACAGAACCCACAGAGGCAAAAGACAATTGCGAAGAACTGCGGGTTTTGTTTTGTTTTTAATGGGATCTGGATTCAAACACTTCATTGCTTCTTTATTTCAAATAACGATAAACTTTAACAATACCCTTTGGTTTCTTTTCACAATTCCATGCTGATATCATCACTTTTCTTCCGGTGTAATTTGGACTCTCAAGTACTATAGGAAAGAAACAGGATTATCATTTACATCAGAAAAGTAGAAAACGTTACTATATAGGCACACACACACGCACACGTATACCTGTCTAGAATTCCTAGGAAAGCAAAACTTCATTTTCTAAATAATTCTTCCCTTAAACTGGCTCAGTTAGTGCCAGGAAGGCCCGTTGCCTCCGCATGCTGGGTACCACACTGTCTCAGCTCATTCTTCAGAGCTTAAGCGTGTATCTTTCCTATGAAACTTCCTGCCTCTCCATCCCTCTGATTTTTATAGAGCAAGGTTGGGTCACAATGTCCCTAACAGTGCCTGGAAGCTCCCAGAGAGCTGAATAAATGAGAGAGTATCCGAGGTCTGGTTTATTCAGTCTGAGAAGAGTTTGGACTTCTACTTTAGTGATGCTGCCTGATTTATTATCTAATCCTGATAAAATAAGCCTCTGGCTACCTTAAAAAATTACTTGCTTGCCACTGATGATTAATTACTGCTAAGTCAAAAAACATGATGAGGTTTGAGAAGTGAGGGTTACTTTTAGTTTCTAGATTTTTCCTGTTTCTAAATTGACAACAGGAAGCTAGGGACAAAAACATGCCTTTGTTAAGCCTGACTTAAGGGCATATCTGTGACTCTTGCTCTTCCTTTCTTGAATTTCCAACTTCTAATAAATTATATTGGTGTGCAGTTGAGATAAAATTATCTTGGGATAAAATTGGCTTCCAGTGCATATGGAATATATATGTTACTGGTTTTTAAAAAAGAGAAAAAATAAGAAAGAAAGAAAATGAAAGAAAAAAAACTAGTAAAAATTAAATTAAATGCATAGTACTCCAGGTGGGTTTCCATTTGTTGGCCATCTGCCATTTCAGGCAACTAAAATAGGAAGTATTTCTAAGGGTTAATAGAATACCTGCCATGCGTAGAGTGAACCTTAAAAGGCAATTACTCTAGTCAAATTGGGAGTCTGTGGAGGAGGGAGTGGGTGGGTGTTGTGGAGCAAACCCAGCCATATCAGAGAAAGCCTGTTGGACTGGGGAGGCAGCAAATAGCAGCTGTGGACTGGGGTAATTACTGTAAAGGTAAATTCAATCCCTGGAGACTAGGAAAGCAATTTTGGGGTGGGTCTGGGTGCTAGGCAAGGAGAGAAAGACAGAAAATAGGCCCCAAATTAAAATTTAAAGAAAACCCAGTTAATGCAAACTCTCCTGGCTAACTCAGACCCGTCTTGTGCCCTCCATTAGAAGCACTTTGGAAAAGATCACTTTTCCAGGCTCCAAAAGAAAAGGTTTTGTACTATAGACTAAAGAGGAGAGAGGCACTTCCAGGGGATGGCAGCATAAGTGAGCTGAGGGCCAGTTCTGCCCCTGCTTGTAGACCTGTTCGCCCTGGGAGAAAAGAACAGGTTATCCACTAGTGTGATCCCTCCCTTCTCTCACTTCTTATTTCTTTTTCTTTTCTCCTATTTATTTCCTGGAGAGGGAAAAAAAAAAAAAAAACAGAAGCAGTGACCTCAGATACACGTACACACATACATGCCCATGCCAAGTAACATATACATTGGTGAGTGGATCACACATAAGCAAGCCAGCAATCCATTCATAACTTTGATCTTGTCTAGCAGGATAGGCAGCAGCAAAGACTGAGTTACTGGGAGACATAAAGACTAGTGTTCTCTGGATAGCCATATTATAATGCATTATCTTTGAAGTCATTTAAGTCCAATTTAAGTGGTATTTAGTATAATATTTATGAATTAATGTAATCTAAACATAGGGATGTCCCCAAAGGTTTAAACAGCCTTTACTACTGATGTGTGCTTGTTCTTGGAGCCTGCTATGCATTTTAATCTAAACAGCCAAGTACACACCACATCCCCCCTTGTTATCCAGACGGAACAGATCTGCGCCTGGGTAACCACTCTGCATTGAGATTTTCCCTTACTCCACGGAGGAAAATGTACTCTACCGGCGGCTGCCTGGGGTGAGGGGTTCACAACCCAGGATCCACAGCTGCGGGGCCTCATACTTCCCAGCATCCGGAAGGAGAACAGGGGCAAAGTTAGATACCCTTTTGTGAAATTAGTGTATCATTTCAAGCTATGCTTACGACCAGATGCACAACCTCACATTTCAATTGTACCTGTATAAGAAATGCCTGGAGTTTCTTGATTTTGGGGTACAGATGTCAGGAAGCGTTGTGATTAATGCCACGTCTTATATTTGCATGCAAGATGTTAGAATTCTCAGAACATCCGGTTTCCACCATTTGACTTTAGCCAAGATGGCTCATTGTTTTTGTTTTGTTTTTTTTCCTGTAGATAGGTGAATTAATGCTAGTGAGGTTCTATTGGATTTTCACTTCCAAGTGAATCTGAAAGACAGTGAAGCCGGAGTACCAGCATGAGCTTCAGCTCAATTAAGATGAACTTTAAAAAATTATTACATTGAAAAATAAAAATTCAGTTTTGCCCAGTGAAAGATGCTAGTTGAATGACTGGGTATACACCTATAGTTTTTAGAAGAAAGCTTTGCCTTGTGAGAAATAGATTAGAAAAAATGGGATAGCTGTGTAATAAGAAAACAAGAAAAATCTTGTTTTTGAAGAAAATAGATTTCACCAATAAAAATGTGCAGTAGCAATTATTACAGAATTAAACTAAAGTCAAGAAACAGCCACACGTAAAAAAAGACAACTCCAAATTCTAGCTGTGGATAAGTGTTATTTAAGTAAGAGTAAAGAGAAAAAATTATTGCAAAATGTTCAATTTATTTACGATATTGGCAGTTACTTGGTGCTTGTGTATGATTTTATTTCTCTTTTAAACAGACTTCCTCAAAATTAACACACAAGGATAAATCAACATGCGCATGTGCACAGATATGCATCCGTGTACAAGCATGACAAA